TGAGACATGACGTTTAGAAAAGACATTTGCAACAAGAGAATGCTCAGTACTGTAATTCCTTCTATGGCTTTTGCACACTTAATCTTTCTTGATTTGGAGAGGAAATAAAGGACAAGACAAACAAGCCTCCTTTCCACAGTTATTCCTTTAGTTCCTACAGTGTGCAGTTTATGGTATATTCCCTCAGTGCATGTTGTCAACAAAAAAAATAGACACTGAAAATGTTTGGCTGCAAACTTATTGCCAGAACTATTTGACTCCAGAGTATTTTCACTGTTAAACCTTTGAATGCCATTCCCTTTCGGTTGGAATTGAAAATTATTTCTCATAATAATATTGAATTGTTGTTCTTATGAGGTAGATGCTGGCTGCTGAACAACTGATTGACTTGCCATACATCTCTCTCCTCTTGGAATGTAAGGCCTTCACTACACTCCTCTGTCTTTAACTCTCTTGTACTGTAGACTCTCTTCTACCCATTTTGATGGTTCTTAATTCAATCATTGTACATCTCCATCTTTTGTCTGCCCTGGTGCCTCTTACTTTGAGAAATCCAGTTGAATGCCTGCCTGATGGTGACACACATCTTTCCACCATGTGTGTCCCAGCCATGGTTTTTATTTGTTGTTTCTAGTTCCATTGGCTTGCATTTCATCCTTCTCCAGAATGCTTTGCTTGTGACTTTTTCTGGCTGTCCAATGTTAAGGATTTGTCTAAGATAGGTATTTATGAAGATTTGGAGTTTAGGGAGAAGGATCATAATAAGTCTCCAAGTTTCAAGGTCAAACAGTAAAACGGACTTCATACTGATGCTTAAATATGTGCAGTATGGTACAGATGGCAAAGTTTCGGTTTCCTTACATTTATTCAGAATTGTAAAGGCATATCCATTTTTTGCAAAGGCATATCCTTCTAATATTAATGTCTTCACTTGTTCCATCCATTTTTGTTTAGGATGCTGCCACAATATGTGAAGGGTCAGGCTGCTTCTGTACCGGCCCTAGACATTGTTATTGATACAGTATTTCTTGTAGGGTAATTCCATTGGTGCTAATTTAGAATCACTTGAATTGACCCTGAAGCAACTATTCTCCTGAGTGTGGAGGGACAGGTGTGTTTGGTATGGGAGGAAAAGAGCCTTTCACTTCAGTGATTTAAACCTAGCTTAAATCAGGAGTAAATCATTAGCATTTGGTGGCTGTTGGGTGGGCTGTATGAGACTAATTGGTTCTTTCAGCCTGGTTCCCAGTAGGCAGTGGTCCACTACAAATGCACAAAATCTCACCAAGATCAGTGTTAGCACCCTCGTTCAAAATTTTAGCAGAGAGACCAGGGTGGGCCTGGAAATAAGGTATTTCTCTGCCTACAAGTGGGCCCTCAACACAAAAGTGAAGGCACATTTGCAGGATAGTTGACAGAATGTTGTCATTGCTCTGATCCCAAGTGCATTCTGTGTATATGACTGCCAATTATGCATATTGAATTTATGTAATTTTTTTTACATGAGACGTGGGCCATTACAACACTGTAATGTCATTATCCCTGCTCTGAATATATAGTTGAAGATTGTACCTTTAAGAAATAAGGTTGTTTTTTTTTTATTGATCAATTCTAACCACCAGCACCTGAGCAGATCTGACTAAACAATAGTGTGAGTCAGACAAATACTAAGCTTGTGCAACCTAAGGTATAGAGAGCCTTTGATGTAACACAGAATTCCTGACCATTTAAAACATGTGGGTTACTCTGGGCATATGAGTCTCTGCTTTGTTTTTGATTCTTTGGTTTTTGCTTTGTCTTTGTGCATCATCCTCAAAGCAAAACACTGCATTAATGATTATGGAAGGGCAGGTTGATGGAGGAAATAGAAACTAGAAAATACATTGCAACTGCACTTTTGGAAGTCAGGTCAAGTCAAGCCAGTTCCAAGGCTACACTGGCCATTGGGGCACCTTTGATTATAGCAATAACTTTCTTCCCTTCTTCCTGGTCTTTTGCAATCCTTGTACAATCAGTCAGTTTTAATCCCGTCCAGTTGTTGATGTTGGTAGTCCAGCTCATCCTAGGTCTTCCTCTTCTTCGGCCATCCACAGCATTCTGCAGCATGGTATTTGTAAGGGTGCTGGTCCTTCTTGTTACATGTCCAAACCACTGCATCTTTCTTCTTCTGATTTCGAATACAGTTTGTATTCGCAGACTTCTTGTCTTATCTGTCTGGCTTTTCGGAGTAAAATGCTCTAAAATAATCAAATGATGCAAAGGTATTTTAAGAACATACAAAAACTGCTTGTATAGGTAAATACTATACACATATAAATATAATCCTCCAGTCTGTTGTAAAAAGCAGTCACAGATTATTTTCTGGCAGCAGCAATGATTGTCCTCTTTGCAGATTCCTTAGGTTTTAAATTAAATTTTTTCTGAGGTTCAAGCACCATTAAAGTTGGTATGCCAGTGTTATGTAGTTTGTTATTTCTCAGGTGTTCTTAATGGAGGATGACATCCATTCATTCCCCAGCAAGTACCTTGTTGTTTCTAAAAGATCCTAATAGAATCAGTAAGGAAATAAACACCGTACTGTATATAAAAAAGATTCAATTTAGACCCAAACCCTGTATTTCTCTATTCAAACCTGCTTCGAAAGAGTGTAGCATCTGTATGATTCCCTTGTGCTTGAAGGGAGAAGAGGCAGCCTGCAGAGATCGCACAGGCCTAAACCACGCCATAGAGGATGCTATAACTTCTGGTAATTATTCCTCCTCCCCAGCCAGCTTCCTACAGAATGTCCCTTCTCAATGCCTGTTGCTTGGTGCTTTGAGCAAGGGAGAAGATTTGGACCCTCCTGCATAGCTGTGAATCCCCAGTGTTGTTATTTGCTACCTATTAAGCCTTTGGAAATCTCCCTGAAGTCCATATTAATTAGCTTGCTGCTGCCTTGCTTGGCAGGTGTATCAGGTAAAAAGGACCTTTTGCCTCGTGCACCAGATATACCACAGAAGCTTCTTTGTGAATTTTCAGTGGAAGAGCTGAACATCAAAGGAACGTGCCCGAGCACTGCAGCTGTCCTGGAAGAAGGCCCAGCAGTAAGAATGGTTAATTGCATGTTCTGAAACTCTTCCATTAATCTCAGCAGCAGCAGCTTCGCTGATAATCTTGGAGATGCTAAATGGCATTGTCATGTCACTACCTTTCTAAGAACAATGATGGATCAGTAATGGTCCATCACTGAATGGCTCAAAATTGACACTGCAGCATTTTGAACTCTTACTGATGGTTACTGTGTTTGTCACAAAGGTAGCTAAAGAATGCATGGTCATAACCTCTCTGACTAGCTTTTGAATTCAGAAGGCAAATCCAGGAGGTTATTATTGCTGATGGTATAGCTGGAGAGAGCTATGGTAAAATATATGCAGATCATTATTTTTAAAGATATCAAACAAAGAGCTGTGAAAATATCTGTAGAAAATGGTTGGCTCTGTGCTTACCTCGTGGTACCTGCTACTTTTCATGGTGGTTAGAGAATAGAAAAGCCATTTAGTGTGCTGCTACTGACTTATTATCAGAGTTGAGGGGTTAGGAGTGGGCCTGAGCATTTGATCCCCAAGGCATGATTATTCGCAGAGGCGAATAATCACTTCCCATGAGCAGCTGGCAAGGCTCCTACTGAGGTAGCCCATTATGCCGTTAGCTGTCTTTGCATTAAAGGGCACACTGTTGGCTCATATACAGCTTATTGTCCACTCTAATCCCCAGGACCTTTTCTACAGAACAGCTGTTTAGCCAGCAGGCCAGCGGTGCGTGGGATTGATCCGTTCTAAGTGCAGATCTTTGCACGTGTCCTTATTGAATTTCATGAGATTTCTTTTGGTACAACCCTCCAGGTGTTTGAGGTCACTCTGAATCCTAGTCCTATCCTCCAACCTATCTACTACTCCATCTTTTCCATTCCACACCCCTCTCCAACACCAGGGTTCTCCATTTACTGGCCTGAAAAGGTACATAATTATTGCCAAGCTAGTATACTATTATACCAGAAGGTGTTCAAGGCTACCATAAATCACAAACCAAGTTAAAGCTGCTGGATGTACTGAGACAATTTCATTTAGGCTAGTAGTGCTCAACCTTTTGGGCACATGGACCAGATGAGTGGCCCAGAGCCTTTCTACTGGCCAGATTGGGCTGTGGGGCCCAGAACTGCACCTTCCCTTTCCCCAGGTGCCAGGATTGGACCCAGGGGGCTGACACCAACCCTTCCCACCCCTTGTGCACCAGGATTGGGTCCCAGGGGACCAACAGTGTCACCTCCTACATTTCCTCCAACTAGGATTGGGTCCCTAGGGGCTGGCACAACCCCCTCTTGTTCTCCCCCCCCCCATGGGTTTTGGGGAGCTGCCACCTCTCCCTCCTGCTTCCTTATACCAGGATTATGTTGAAGGGGGATGCCATCACCCCCTTCTGCACCCGTTGTGTTGGCGCAGGTCCCAGGGAGCCAGCACAACCCCTTCCCAGTTCCCCACACCGGGACTGGGTTGTGGGGCCTGGCACCACCTCCACTCAGCCCTGTGTGCTGGGATTGGGCACTGGATCCAGTGTGCAGTGCCCAGGGCTTCCTTTAGGTCTGGCAATTTGGCAGCAAGGGAGTAGTGGCACCACTTTCCTGCTGCCAAATTTCTGAACCCATGGGGAACCCCACAGGTCAAATGATACGGCACTACAGGCCAGAGGTTGAGCCTCCCCCCACCCCCCACCTTGATTTAGGCTACATACAAGGAAAATTAAATGCCTCTTATAGTGATAAACGGAACAGTAGATGTCATTACCCGAAGCTGAACATTAGACATGTGAGCAGAGGGATTTTGTTGCAGATCAATTGCAAATACAAGGGCTAGGGTGTCAGATGGGCGCAGGTGTATGGGTCTATGTATGAGACGGCCGAAAGCGGTAAGAAAGGCAGAGGAGGTTCTTTGGGTAAATCCGATATCTTTTATTAGACCAACTCAAATAGTTGGGAAAATTCTTCTTAGCAAGCTTTCGGGCACAAACACCCTTTGTCAGGCTGAGGAAGAAAAGGAATGGTGAGCATGACCCAGGAAGAAACCCAAGGATCAGATCTGGGTCCAGGACTTGCAAGAAAGGCTAACTTGAATGTGTGAGCGAGGAAGTCTGCTGTTTGTTCCTACTGTGTTCAGGAAACAGGACGTTGTGTACATTCTGTGTATATAAACAAAGAAAATAGCACTCATTCCTCCTCCTGTGGAAAACAGCCTAGCAAGGCCCCCAGCCATTGGCAAAAAAACCCCAAAGCAAGAAGCAGCAAAACTGTGCATCAGAGTTAAGGTGCCCTGGACTGATGTGCTCCTCAGCTAATAGTGAAGCTGTACTGGTTGATACTAACTGAGGATTTGACCCAAAATCTCTTATCAACGAAGGCTGCATATTAAAATGTAAAGAGAGAAGCGCTAATTTGAAAGTCCCTTTGTAAATAACAAAGAGACTTCTCCCTAGCAGGGTTGCTGCAGTGCATGCAGACTAACAATTTGTGCCCTAATCCTCTCTTGCATTAATCTTGTTAATTTGCTTTCAGCACTCCAGCTAGAGAAGTTGCCCTCATTTTTTTAAGACCTTGAAGTTAGCATCCCAACAGCAAAGACTCTCCCATCCCTGCAGGTACAGATGAACCAGTTCAGTGTCACACTCTGGGAAAAGAGTTGGTATTCTCTGTTCTCCATCTTCAGTTTCAAACATATGATTTCATTTGCCTGTAGAGGAAGGAGAACCAGCTTGATTTGAAACAGTTGCAGTTATTCTTATTATAAATTGCTAAGTCCCGGCTCAAATATTTGATGTTAGTAAAATGAAAGTTTCCTTTACTGAGTAAAAGCAATTGGGAAATGTTTCTTTCCTGCTTAGTTTGCCTTTCATATGGAATATGGAGGTTTTTTCCTAGGTTTAATAAAATATGCAGTGCTAGAGAGTGTTTTCTTTTTAAGTCAGTTCCATGGTTGCTGATCTAAGATTGTATGATTATGAGATTTTTCAAAACTCTACTGGTCCTGGTTCTCATTTACACTCTGGCTTCTTTCCACAGCCAGAACAATATAAATAGGAAAGGGGCCCAACAACATATTTATCTAATGCTGCACATCAGTGAGTAATAAAATATACAAATACCTCATAATATCATAGCTTTCCAAATAGTGTATTTCCGTGGCAGACTGAAGTCAGGAGTCACTAACAAGGAACTTAAGTAGATTTAAAAAAAATTAAACTGTACTTCCAGCTGAAGAGAAAGTACATACTGAATCTGCAAAATTACAAAGAAATGAATTTCAATGTGGTCTGCTGTGCCTTTTACCAGCAAAGAGTAGAGTTCAGGCTTTCTCTGTAGGCCCTTGGCCTTTGTTTGTTTGCTTGCTTCTCACAACCGATGGTGTTTTAAGCTCCTAAAACAGAGCAAGAAGCAAAAGTTTTCCCATGCTCGTGATGTTATAAGTTCACCTGACATGGAAAGAAGGACCTTAATTTCACAAAACAAAAGAAAAAAATTTAGGTTTTAAATTTATTTTTGTTCTGTGTCAGATCATGGTTTCAAATTAGACCATTGGAAATTTTTCAAAAAGACAAGCCCCCTCAGCTATTGAGCCATTCTTTTTCTCTCTCCCCTGTTGTACCCAATTCATTTTCATAAATAATCCATCGCTCATTAGGCATGAGAAAGAGACTGGCCCTAGGGCCAAAAATTCTCTCTTGATATTTTGACCCAAACATCTATGCTGGACCTGAGAAACCTTTCTGTAAAGATTTTTGTTGGAACTGATATATCAGTTATATAAAAGTGAGGTCATCAACTGCATCTGAAGAAATGAAAAACCCTAAACTCTGGTCTGAGCAGGCAAGTACAGAATGACCTAATATTTCGTTTTTTTTTAAAAATGGAGGATGCCTAAGATGCATGAAGTGTTTATACATCTAGCTTTGGGTCCAGATTTCTCACAAATACAATTCTGTACTTTTCCTTAAAGATAAAGATAATCCTGATATCAGGATTGTGGGATTGGGGTTTGCATTTATTTTCACGTTTGACTCATGCTGATATGCTAATCTCCAGAGAGTAAATACAGAAAAACATTTAATTTTACCACTACAACAAAGTACCTATTGTGATGGAAAGGTTCAGTTTGGTTTAGTTTCCTGAATTTAGGAAACTTATTTTCAGGAACTTAGACTAAAATAATGGGCACAAAATTTGATTTGCATTAAAAATATTAATATATTTATATCATATTATATCATTCTTCAGTGGTGCAGTTAATATGACCTGTAACAGATTTCCCCATACCTATAAATGTGGGAGCTGGTACTACCATTAGAACAGCAGTTCACAAAGCTTTGTTCTTGCTGTAATTACAGGCTTGATTCCTGTTTACACCCATACAAAGAAATCTAAGTTTTTAGTGGATGTTGCTCATTTCTACTTTGTCTACTCCAGATCTCACTTATCCAGGACCTTAGTTGTTCAGAAGCTTTAAAGAGAATATGACCTACTTCCTTTATGTATGTCTTGAGCTCCAGCTACCTTCAAGTAAACCTTGGATGTTTGCTTTTTTGTACCACGTGAAGCAAGATGGTTTGCTAAGGTATTTGCTAAAGAACAGAGTAAGCAGTGGTGCAACAGGGAGGCTACTTAGAGAAATGCATAATCGTTTCAGTAGTAAATGGGCTGCTTACAAATCCCCAGGATTTCAACATGCATATTAAATGGGTGTTACAGATTACATTCAGTTAGCAAACTTGGCTTTAGTAATTTACAGAGTAGGTCATCATCTGAAGCCTAATGCAAAGAAGGGATGGTTATTGGCATGTGAGAGCATAAAACACATCATCAATAGGAGTATATAACATATGGAGAAGCTGGGTCTGCCAGTGTTTCCATCATTACCCTGTTTGGAAGGGTTTATAACAGATTTAGAAGTCTACTTGAAGGAAATATTTGGCATTGGAGTTAGCCTGAGCTTCTCTCTTTCTAGACTGACCAAAGTAGAAGGTTTTTGTCACTTTTTGTAAGTTGTATAGTTAGAAAAATGATGAACAGGAGATTCAGTGCCCATGTTAGATAAGTGATTTGTTTTGAAAGTGGTAGCTAGAGGACATAACTTGTGTATAACATGATTTAGTGCAGTGGTGCCCAAACTTTTGCTCAGTGGGCCAGAATGACGGTGCCCAGTCTGTCCTTGGGCCAGATCCAGCCGGTGCTCCCAATCCAGCAAGGGCATGGTGGGCACCATCTGGCTGTGGAGGGTGTGAGGAGGGAGCAATCCAGCTGCAACGCAGCCCCACAGGAGAAAGCTTGACCTAGCCCCATGGAGAGGAAAGGGGGTCTGCCTTGGTCCTGGGAGGGAAAGGGGTCATGGTCAGGGCCCATCCCAGCACCACAAGGGGAAGGGGGTATGGCTCAGCCCCAATGGGAGAGAACAGGGCATGGCATGGCCAGGCCCTGGGAAGGAAGTGGGCATGACAATGCCCCAACCTGGCCCTGCAGGGGGGGGGAGGGGGTGTGATCAGGCCCAATGGGAGGGAAGGAAGCATGGCTGGGCTGCAACAAGTTGCATGGGAGAAAGCAGGTGTGGCAGCCCCAATGGGAGGCAAGAGAACATGGCCCAGCCCTGCAGGTTCCAACCTGGGAGGAAAGGGAACATGGCCTACCCCCAGTCCGGAAGTAGGAGGGAAGCTTGGCTACTACCAGCCACATGGGAAGTGTATTTTGGGGATTGGCAGGGGGAGGGTGGCTGTATTGATGGCCACTGTTCCCCTATTGATACAATTCTGGATCAATGGAGATCCCTGTGGGCCAGATGAGATTGCTCTGCAGGCTGCATTTGGCCCATGGGCTGAGAACCCCGGTCTAGTGCAGTGGTTGGCAATCTCCGGCCTGCCAACTGGATCCAGTCTACAAATGTGGGGCTTTGGTAACATTCAGCAGTGAGGGCTTCTTCTATCTCACAGTGGGGAGAAGCAGTGGGAGGTGGGAAGCTTCCCCATGCTCTGGTGAGGAGGAGTGGCAGCAGATGGGTCCTATCCTGCTCCTCGCTCCCAGCTTCTGATCCACGCCGAGTCATTTTGGCTCACAGTCTGAAAAGGTTGCCAACTGCTGGTCTAGTGGTTTTCGTATTTCAAAGGGCAAAGAAATTTTTGTTCTAAACTATAGACTTACAGAAAAAGGTGCAAACAAATAATTTTTAAAAATTATATGTAATTAACTTGTAGAATGAACAAACATCAATAACACGCTTGGTATTTTCCACTAAGAAATTTAGAAGTGGGGCAGTAACTCTCTTCTTCCTTTTGCTTTTCATTCTTAATTTTTGCCCCAGCAGGTGAAATGAAGCATTAGGAGGGTTGGAGGTTTACACTGATGCACTGCATTCCCAGCTCTTTATAAAGATATATTTTATCCAGCTGTTGGCTGACACACTTTGTATGAAGTGCCTTGGCAACCTCTGCCCTATTTCTAGGCATCTATTCACATTTGCTTTAGTGAGAAAATCAAAAAATGGATGGTCATTTTTAAAGAGAAATTAAAGGTAGGTAAGAAGGAAGGTTTTGTCTATACCTAGGCATCTATTGCCCACATCCCACCACGCATAATTTTAATCTGGACCACCTTTGGCAATCTCTTCTGAGGGGCCAATTATTAAATGGACACAGAATTGAAATAATTTCTCCAGTTTGGGTTGGAGTCTCATAAGCTGAGTAGTACAGAAGAATGTGCACTTTCCTGGCCTAGTTGTTTGTGTTCAGTGCAGTTTTACAGCAGCTATACCATGCAAACTAAAGAGACCTTTCCTTCCTACGTTTCTTGCCGTGTCTCTCACCTCCACCCAAGTCCCTTCTATCCTTTTCAGAATAAAGCCTAGACTGTTCATTTTTACTCTTATAACTCTGCACATAGCTTTGGCTCTACCACTCTTATCTGTTCACTCTCTAGCTCTCCTCATGTCCTTTCTGCTCATCGATTTCATAGACATTAGGGTTGGAAGGGACCTTGAAAGGCCATCGAGTCCAGCCCCCGCCCTAGGGGCAGGAAGTCAGCTGGGATCAAAGGATCCCAACAAGATAAACATTCAAATGTCTCTTAAAGGAGTCCAGAGTAGGTGCTTGCACCACCTCTGGAGGCAGTCTGTTCTAGGCCTTGGGGGCTCAGACAGTAAAGAAGTTCTTCCTTATGTCCAGTCTGAAACGGTCTTGGAGGAGTTTGTAACCATTTGACCTTGGCATCCCTTGGGGCGCTCTTGTGAACAGGCGTTCCCCCAGATTCTGACATACACCTCTTATATACTTATAGGCAGCTACCAGGTCCCCCCTGAGCCTGCACTTTTCCAAGCTGAAGAGTCCCATGGCTCTCAGCCTTTCTTCATAAGGCCTGTTTGCCTGCCCTCTGATCATGCCCATGGCTCTTCTCTGGACTCTCTCAAGCTTCTACACATCCTTTTTAAATTGTGGAGCCCATGCAGTACTCCAGCTGCGGCTTCACCGAGGTCAAGTACAACGGGTGGATGACACCCTAGGATGTGCTTGAGAAGCATCTATGGATGCAAGCCAGAGTTTTGCTCACTTTACCAGCTGTGACATCGCATTGGTGGCTCATATTCATCTTGTGGTCAATCATGACCCACAAGTCCTTTTCAGCCATGGTGCTAGCAAGCATAGCATTGTCAACCTTATAAGTATGCTGTGGGGTTTTTTTTCCCTGGGGTGGAGT